AGACAGACAGACAGACAGACAGACAGACAGAGACGGACGGACGGACAAGAATGTGTCACACAAGCACACGAGGCGAGACAGGCCAGGCTTAAAGGGCACATTCAGACGCCTCAATCCCCATGACAGAAGTCACATTAGCGCTGCTGCTTGGAACTGGGGGGTAAACTAGCTAGAAGAGGGTGTGAGGGGAGTTCTGGGGGTGATGGAATTGTGGCCATGTTTTGTGTCCCGACTGGGTGGTGCTGTAAAAGCTACATGGTTACTTTAAGGTCTGTCCACTCTCTGCAACTGTACCTCAGTTTAAAATACATTACATGCAGCTCACCTTTCTAGGAAAGAGCGGGTGAGGGAGGGGAAGAGAGGATCTTCAGGACTATAAAGGTGACATCCCAGGGTAGCCCCAGTGGACGCTGACCTCCTGGCCTAATCTGCCCGGGACACAGGCGTTTTCTGGGATGGGAATTCCACCGCAGATGCCCTGGGCAAACCAGGAAGTCTGGTCCCCTCATCTCTTCCAGAAGTGGGGGGATTGAGAGTTTTGGAATTTGGCAGAGATGCTGGGGTCCCTTGGTCCCAGGATCCAGGAACTGCCCCAGGGGGACCTGCCAGGGCCTCAGGGCAGTGGCCATCAGGGATGTTGGGGCTGGAGGTACCTTTGTCCCTGGCGTCCCCTCTCAGAGCCAGAAGGTGGGGGTGGCCTGTTCCCCTGTGGACTGAGGCCACAGGACTTCCAGCTGGGCTCTGGGAATATTCCAGCTCAGAGACCCCTGGCTCCCTCCTCATTCAAGAAGGTGCCAGACAGAGAAATGGGGCAATATGGGATGGACCAAAGCTTTGTACTTTTACTTCTACACCGGCACAAGCAGAGACGGACCCCTGTCCACTTGGCTTGCCACAACCAGCTGTGGCTTGGGCTGGTGCTGAGGTGGCCTCCTCTCTCTTTTGGAACACGGGACAGATGGGCTGCGGGGCAGAGACTGCCAGCAGGGATAGCAACGTGGGCCACTGAGCCAGGGCAGGAGCCAGGAAGCAGGAGGCAGGGAGGGCGGTCTTAGAAGTTCTCGTAGTGGTGCATGAAGTGGGCCCCATCCTGCCTGTTGACGAGCTGACAGGCCTTCTCCACGTTCTTGGTCATGCCTGGGGGGCCACAGCTGAACACCCCGATCTTCCGGACCTGTAGCAGGAGGGAGTGGTGAGGCCTCTCATGTTCAGGGCAGGGCCAGCTCCTTGATAGTACAGAGACCATCTGGAATGACCCAGTGTCCCTGAGGAAGGCTTGCTTGTTACTGTGGGGGGGGGGGCAGGGGACAGGGGTGCTAATGACAACATGGCCAAGTTGATGGCCAAGAACAGCTGGATTATTCAGCGTGACCTCTCTGATAGGGCCAGGGGCTTCAGAGCCCTGTGTGACGCTCTCCCCATCTTTTATCACTGCCTCACCCCCTACCCCCCACCCCTGCACCATGTCTGGGGAACACTGATTCAGAGTTGTAGCCATTCTGTTCCTGGCAGGGCAGGTTTATGACCCCAGAGTGTAAAGTAGCGAGCCTGGGGGAGCGTGGCCGACCTGCGGGTGCACCTCCTGTAGGGAGTTGAAGAAGGCCTCGAACGGGGGCCGGCCGAAGTGGGTGACAGAGCGCAGGCCCGTGAACAGGCTCCGGTTCAGCACCTTCTGGAAGTGCCGCTCACAGATGTACTGGAGGGACAAGCAGAGGTCACAGCCCAGCCTCGGGGCCAGCTCCCTGCCCCTCCCGCCGGCCAGTGGGCGCTCACCTACCAGCATGGTGGTCCTCAGGTCGAACTTCTCGGCCAGCTGTGTGATGTAGATGTGCACAGAGACCAGGTCCTGGCGGTCGCTCTCCTCCACCTCCCGGATGATGTCGGCCAGCCACTCGAACTGCCGCTGTGTCCGCGTCACCCAGATGAAGTAGATCTGGGGACAGCCGGGGAGTGCGGGACCAGCTCAGCTCAGGCTCCCTACATCTGGGGTGCTTTCCCAGAGACACTGGGAACCCCCAGGTACACACAGGCAGGACAGCTCTGACAGGTGCCACCAGCCTGCCTCTAGGCCTCCAAGGGACCGATGTGAGCAGAGGCCCCTGGCTGCACCTCTACCCTCTTTCCCTCTGAACCTGGCATCTCAACTGCTGAGTGCAAATGGCCCCCATAGACCCAGCATCTGGGAGCCAGGGGCTTTCTCCACACTCCTGTTGGGGATGCCAGGAAGTCACCTGGCCACCTGCCCCAAAGTGGAGAAAGGAAGATTAATGCTCACCTTTTTACAGAGCATCTGGCTGCCCAAGGATGATTTGAAGACCAAGTCTTTGAGGATGGAGGCGAAAGGGGTGACTCCGATGCCCCCTCCTACCAGCACTGACACCTCAAACTTATGCCACTCCTGGTGCCCTTCTCCAAAGGGACCATCGAGGTACAGCTGCCAAGAAGAAAGAAAGATGAGCCCAGCCTCACCCCAGCTCTGAGCCAGGATTGGGCAGGCGTGTTCCCAGGGGAGCATCCCAGCCTAGTCTTGGGTGGCTGGGATATCTAGGCTCAGGAACCCTCTGCCAGAGCACAGGTCTGGAAGTGGGGTACCTTTGGGTAGATGGCACTGCCTTTGCCTGTTGGGGGTGAGTAGATCTCCCGGAGGCGGGTGGTCCAGGGCCCCACCGCCCGGATGTGCAGGCTGAGCGTGTCCTCATGGGGCGCAGAGGTCAGTGTGAAGGGGTGGTACTCATTGGTCCCCAGAGCCAGGCAGGCGATCCGCACCCACTGCCCCGACTTGTACTCAAAGCTCTGGGGCCGCTGGAACTGCAGGTAGGTCACTCCTGGGGGCCGTGGGCAGGGAAGGGAGGTGATCAGAAGCCACTCCTGGTACTTAGGATTGGTCTGTCCTTCCCATACTCCTGAGACCCATGAGTGTCCCAGAGCCACAGGGTCTGGGCAAATGTGGAGGAGTCTCCTTTTCTGTCTCTGGCACAAAAGAGTTGAGGTTCTCTGCTCCCTGTTCAACCTTTCTCTTTTATCCTCCATTTCCTGGTGAGGAATCCCAGGCTGCAGGATGAAGGGGCCTCAGGGATCCCTGGCACCTCTCAGGGTTTAATCAGCTGCCCCTCCCTTAACCTTACACTGAGAGTCCTGAAGGTAGGATGGCGCTCTGACACCTAACATCATGTCCCTCACCTCCATGGAATTGCCACTTAGGATCAGGGCCATCACCTGGGTTGGGGGGTTGCTCAGAGGGGACATGGTTCATGCCCTGGCCTCCTTTGTACCTGGCCACTCATGCTGAGGCCTTTATCACCCCAAATCCTCCTCCCTTGCTTTCTGCCTCCTCCCCACAGTCACCTCACTGGGTGATGGTCCCCCATGGGCCAGACACAGCTCTTCTGAGAGCTGCATTTCTACCAGGAAAGCTTCCAGAGTCCCAAGAGGCTGTCAGGAGGTGGATGAGGGGGTCAGGAGGCCCAAAGCTCCACCGAGGCTGAGGAACCCACATCTGGTGCTCCCTGCCCGGGTCAGGCCAGGCCAGTACCTGACGGCAGCAGCTCAGCCTTCACCACGCCAATCTCCACCTTCTTTCGGCTCAGGCTCACCAGCTTGTCCCCCCCATAGATGATGGCCGGGACCAGGAAGTAGATGTGGAAACTGGGCAGTTGTATCAGAGCAAAGCTGCCATGGATGATGAGCTAAAGACACAGCCAGTTAGTGCAGCTCAGGCCCAGCCGAGCACTGGATCCCCCGGCCTTGGCACTTTCTGCACAGTGGGGCATGGTCTGTGTACCCCGGTTGTGGCATAGGCTTGGATCTGAGGCCACAGCTCCCAGGGGCTCTGCCTGAGGCGCAGGGTCTACAGCTCCCTCCTCTACTGGCCTACCACTCATCACGGGTCGCTTACCCCAGGCTGGCCCTGCCCAGAAGAACCCTCACCAGAACATAGAGCACGACATAGAGGTGGTGCGTCAGCCAGAAGCCCCGGAAGCTACGGCGGCGGAAGTAGTGGGAGGCGAAGACGTACATGATGGCCAGGACCAAAAGTAGGAGCACCCCCGACATCCCTAGGGACCAGAAGCCAGCCAGAGTACCTGGGACTTCAGCCTGGGCTGAAATCACCAGATAGTGCTGCCATTCTATCCCCATCCCTCTCATCCCCGGCCTGGCCCAAGTGACTGGACATGGAGCCCATGGCCACTACAGACCAGTGTGTGCTCAGGGAGGTGTCCCCAAGGAAGCTTCAGGTCTCCCATTCACCACAACCCTACCTGGAACGGTCTCAAAGAACCACCAGTAGTACTTTGGGGGAATCTTAGACCTGCGGGACAGAGACACAGTCAGCTCCAGCTGGGCCAGGAGGACACCACCAATGCCACGCCAAGGCTGCTCTTGCCACTGGTCCTGGCTGTGGAGGTCAGGAGAGTCCCTGCCAGCTACCACAGGAGCTCCCAAGGAACATGGCGCCGGTGCCCAGCACCCACCCTCTCTGCACCCAGCTGTTCTCCTCCTGCAGCTCTCTGGCTGCAGTTCCACTTGGTTCCTTGAATTATTATTTTATAAGCTCTAAGAAAGCTTATGTTTTGCTCACTCATCCATCCCTGGGTGTGGCATAGGTAAATGTTCAATAGGTGTCTACTGAGTGACAGTATCTTAATGTCCCTACTCTCTGTCACTGGATGGATGACAACGATGTGTTTCTACCAACAAAGCAAAACTGCATGCCAAGGGCCTATCGGCAGAATGTCTGGTTCTTCTCCTAGACACCTTCCCTGGCAATTACAGCCAGGTCCCTCATTGGGGGAAAGGTGACTGCTCCTCAGGAATCCCAGGTGGGGCCCCTTGCACCTTCACTCTGGAGAGCAAGGGCCCCGGGCTTTCTGTCCCTCTTATGCCCACTCCAGGAGACCCCAGAACTGACCCATCATTCACAAAGACATTGGGGAACACGCAGGCCAGCAGACTTGGAGGACTGACTGAGAAGATGTAGAAATTGACCACATGGCCAGCACTGTGCAGGACTGAAAGAGACCTGTGTTAGAGATGCCATGTGGGGCCCGCACTCCCCCAGCTGGAGGACAGAGGAGGCACGGGGAGGGAGATGGGGTCTCAGGGTTCCCGGGGAGCCACATACTGGCCAGGAGGACAGCGCCCATGGCGATCCAGCGGTGGAAGTCCACGGCGGCGTCGAAGGGGATGTAGCGGTTGAGGAAGGTCTCACGCAGGAAGGTGATGAGGTTGCGGCACATGGTGAGCAGGATGTAGGAGAACATGAAGGAGATGCTGGCCGCCGTGCCCCGTGACAGGATGATGCCCACATATGTGGTCTCCTCAATGTCCGTGGGTGGCGAGGCAAAGGCGTAGTCTGTAGCCCGAGGTGGTGATCAGCATGGAGCAGGCTGGGCTGGGAGCTCCCCTCCCCCAGAACCTTACAGTAGGCTCGTTCCGCAAAGAGGCCCACACAGATGGCTGAGAAGATGGCAGTGCACACAATATGGCGTCTGTAGTTCTCCACGAAGCGCTTGAACTGCTGCAGCTTCTGGGCTGTGAAGCCACGCTGCATTTTCTCCTGCAGTGCCTCCGTGTAGAGCTGGGCAGGCGGCCCTAGCACCCTTCGCCAGGAGCAGGCAGGTGAGCAAGGAGGACATCCCAGCCTGTCCCCAGGGCCACCCATGCAAGCAGCCCAGGGCACCTCCAGGGTCAGGGTGGGCCATAAAACACAAGGAAGGAAGCAGCCCTTTCTCCAACCCTCACTCATCTGTGCCTACCATGCCCGCCTTCCCATGACTCCTCCTCCTCCTCCTCCTCCTCCTCCTCCTCCTCCTCCTCCTCTTCCCTGTTTTGTACCTCTACCCTGCTCCCTGCAGCAGGAGCCACAAGACCCCTCACTACCAGCCCCATGTTGGTTCTGAGCTGGGCCCTGTGCCTGAATGGGGACTGGGGGCTGAGAGAGAATGGAAAGTCACCTCGGCCCTCTAGCCCCCCATTCCCTCCCTGTCGGGTCAGCGACAAGCAGAATGAGACTTGGGATGGTCCCTGTAAGTCAACGGGGAGTAGGCACGGCCCAGAGCCACAGGGACCTCTCTCTATTCTTCAGTGGGCCCCAAGATCTGTGAAACACTCACTTTTTGCCAAACCTCTTCTTTAGCCCAGGGGTCTCTGAGGCTGGGAGTGCCAGGTCTGAGGGGCTGGAGCTGAGAAAAGGAAAGTGGGGCCTGTTTACCCCATGTCCTCGCAGCCTGGAGAACTGCCAGGCCAGAGCTCGGCTGGAGGCCACAGTGGCTCATCTGTTGCCTGGAGTGGCAGAGAGACGGCTGGCTCCTGAGCAGCCTTGTGGAGGGTACTGGCTGGAGTGGGGGCAGCCTGACCCCAGCCCACCAGCCAGCTGTCCTCCCTCAGATATCCTTCAGGGGACGCAGCCACTTGGCCAGTTATCCCTGCTCACCGCTCTCCTGGGGTCCGAGAGATGAATGAGACCCGGAAGTTGCTGTTTTGCTTGAAGACATCTCCAAAACCTGGTAAGGAGAACAGGCTGACCTGGCTTCCCGGGGTCTTGCTGGTGAACCGGGTCATGTCCTGTGCTCCGGTTCTAGTCCTGTTCTCCTTCTCCACACTGGGTGCCCACTACATTGAGCAGATAACGCCACCACTTTGTATAGTCAGATAGAGGGAAGCTCCTGGGCAGGGGCAGGCCTGCCCCTCGTGCAATTTTTCCTTTCCTCTTTTGAAACAAGCTCTCATGATGGGGCCCAGGCTGGCCTTGAGGTCGGTAGTGGCCCAGGCTGGCCTGAGACTCATGTTCCTGCAGCCTCAGGTTCCCAAGTGCTGCCACTACAGGTGTGTGTCAGTCTTTATTCCTCTGTATAAGAAAACAGTCTCTCTGCCCCAGCCAGATATAGGCCAGGACAGTGCCCCGCTGTCAGGGGCCTGCAGGCTGGCTTTCAGCGAGCATCTCTGTGCAGTGGGCAACCCGGGCACCTGGACACAGCAGCACTGAATACCGCCCCCTGCTCAGCCCCAGGGCCAAGGACTTGAGAAGACAGAGACCCAGGGCCTGTGTGCCAGGAACTGCTAAGAGACTTTTCCCATGCAAACACACCTCTGCCTCCACCTTTGACGCACAGCTGCGTGAAGCGGAGCTCGCTGTCATGGTCACGCAGCAGGAAGTGGAAATCCTCCCAGGTGAGCTCTTCCTTGCCCTGGAAGCCCGCCTCCCGGAACAGGGACTCCACCACCTCAGCCAGCTGGGCCTTGGACAAGCAGTTGTTGGAGATCTCAATGAAGGACCTGGGGGACCCAAGACAGACTGCCTGTCACCCACAAGGTCAGGCTCAGGGAAGGGCAAGAGTGTGGCAGGTGCCATCTGATCATGCCTTGTGCTCACTGGTGACCCAGGGCAAGGCACCAGCAGGCACTCATCCGGCCTCAGTCCGCACAAAGGTGGGGGAGGGGCGTGGCCACAGGCTCAGAAGACAGCAGCATTGAAGGTGACCTTGACCTATAGAAGGCAGCCCTCGAGTGTGAGACCTACTGCTGGGGATGAGCATCTAATTAGCACAGGGAACCGTCAGAGCACCCCACACGCTTCTGTGGATGCAGCCCATGCCACCCCTGGACTCCACCTCCACAGCCCCCAGGAACCAGATGGTGGGCATGGGCCGAGGTTGCAAGGGCTACTGCCTCCCATGCCAGCACACAGCTTGCACACTTTAGGAGGAAAGGAACAACAGCAGGACCCCAGACAGAAGAGTCTGCACCAGCGTCTCACTGACCATGGCAGAGTTTGTGGCCATGCTCCTTCTTTAGCTTGGACAAGCAGTCTGTGCAAATGTGTGCAAGCCCAGCAGAGAAAGGCCAGTGCCTGTGCAGTGCAGCAAGCACCACTGTCCTGTTAAAAAGCATCATCTCAGGGCTGGGGAGATAGCTCAGTGGAATAAGTGCTTGCCTGGAAAGCACAAGGTCCTGAGTTCAATCCCTGGTACCACCAAAAAAAAAAAAAAAGCATCATTTCAGAGATTGATGAGCAAGATACAGCCAGAAGTGAGCTCTCGGCCCACAGTGACACAGCATCAAAGGACAGATTGAGTGGGATTGGGCCATTTGGAAGCTAGAGTACAGGTGGGGCACACCTGTAATCTCAGCGCCGGGGAGGCTGAAACAGGAGGATCACTACAAGTCCAAGCTGTGTAGTGAGACCCTGCACCAAATACATAAATACAAAACAAAAAACCAACCCAAACAGATTGAGACCCTGCTCTAGGCAGGGGTGCTCCGAAGGTTCAGGGTGCAGCGTCCGGTCCTCTCACAGATGATCTCCAACCCACCCCATCTGCCCCTCTTCCCTGGTGAAGATGTCAGGACAGCTGAGCTCCTACCGCATCATGGTGAAGAATTCATCCTTGGAGAGAAAGCCATTCCCATCCAGGTCGTACATGGTGAACATCAGGCGCGACTTGTCTTCTGCGGATCCTGGGAGAGAAGGGGGGTGCAGTTACCTCCCTGTCCGCAGGATTCTCCAATGGCCTGCCATGCCCCAGGCCTCACCTTTCATGAAGACCACCAGGATGTCCAGGAACTCCCGGAAGCACAGGTAGCCATTGCCGTCCTTGTCAGCCAGAGAGAACATGGACTCCACAAACATGTCCTGGGGCTTCAGGCCCAGGGACTCAGCAAACTCAGCCCGGCTCAGCTCGCAGGTCAGGGCCTCTCGCACCTTCCGGGATGAGTCCAGGGGCAGGGTTCCCGCATCTGCCTGGTTGATGTCCAGCACCTGCACTCGGGCAGCAGCAGAGTGGGAGGGAAGTTCAGTGAGTTCACTTGGCCCTGAAATCCACTTCCAAAAGGTGGAGTCCTGTTCCTGGTGCTTTGGGATGCTGCTGTCCTAGAGGAGGGAGCTGAATCTCAGAGTCTCCCCTTCTCTTGGGACCTAAGCACCACACTGTGGAGATGGTGTTGAGGGCAGCAAAGCTGGGGGATGGGAGGTGAGAGACCCCCGGGGACGAGGCAGGCTGTGGACTGCTGGGCAAGCAGGGTAGACTGATCCTGTGTGCTCTCACGGCAATCCAGCAGGGCTGCCTCTGACTCGGTCTCTGCCCATGTGCAGGGAGTCTGAAGTCACCCATAACTATCGTCTATTAAATGCCTACAGAGTCCCCAGGCCAGGCGTGGTGCACAGAAGGATGATTTTTCATACCTAGCCTGCACCAGAACACCTAGAGGGCTTGTTCAAACACAGACTGCACCCTCTTCAGTCTGACTGGGGAGGGGCCTGAGGATGTGCGCTCCTCCAAGTCCTCCAAGTGAGGTCAAAGGCAGGCAGTCCAGGGCCACCCTCTACCGGCCTTAGAGAACCCCTCACATGGACTGTCTCACCAGACCCTCAACGTAGCTTTAGCCACTGTTTTAGAGGTGCGGAAATGGAGACAGAGAGATGATGTTACCTCCTAAGGTCAGGTACAGGCCTGACTGGACAATAGAGGGAATGCTAAGATTTAAAAAAATGTATTACAGTAAAAATCACATTGCCATGAACCTCTCTCAAAAAATCTTCCCCTCTGCTTTAAATACACTGATTGTGGGCCAGCGAGATAGCTCAGTGGTCTAAAGTGCCTGCTTCGGCAAGCTGAGGCAACACAGGGACCGTGGTTTGATCCCTGGCACCACATGCTGCACCAGCCCTGCCCCCAGGGTGGGCTGAGCCAGCCACAATGAATAAATAAATAAAGAAATACACTGGTCCCATGGTTCTTGACACTTTCTGCAGCAGCTCTGGAGTCCTCTTTCCTGAGTGTCTTTATGAGGTGTGATCAAAAATACAGTGACTGCTGCTGCCGACCACTGTCCACTGGAAAGGCAGACTCATAAAAACAGGATGTCCTGTCCTCATCCTCCTTATTCGCCAGATCTGGTGCCATGCACCTTTCAGCTCTGCCCCAAAGTCAAAGTGACCATGAAAGGGAACCGTTCTGAGTGGATTCAGGACACAGAGGCAACCAGGACAGCACAACTAATGACACTCACTAAAGAGGACTCCAAACTGGGAGAGACAGCTCAGCGGTCTAAGTGCCTGCCTGGCAAGCACAAGGATCTGGGTTCGATCTCCAGTACCACATCCTGTGCTGGCCACCAAAACCAGGTATGGTAGTGCACACCTGTCATCCCAGTGCTGGGGAGGCTGAAGCAGAAAGATCACTACAAGTCTCAGCTGTGTGGTGAGACCCTGTGTCCAACACAAGAAGAAAAAAAAAAAGAAAGAAAGAAAGAAAAACTCCAAAGCTGCTTCAGAAAGTGGCAAAAATGATGGGATGGGTGTGTTCTAGGTGAGCTTGAGAATTTGAGATAGACTCAAGATTCTGTGTCTTTTACCAACATACATTTTCTAAAACTCAGTCACACTCGGCATTTTTTGATCACACTTCGCAGCTAGTGTGCAGCACAGCCAGGCCACACCCAGGGTCATCTGTCCACTCCAGGCTGGGCCTGTCCCCTGGGCCAGGCTGTCCCCAGAGAGCAAGAGCACAGCACCTGAGCAAAAAGGTGTCTGAAGAAGACCTCCAGGATGCGGCCCCGCTGCTGCTTGGTCACCGCCTCCCTGAGCAGCTGGCTCTCGCCCATCTCAGCCACGTGGAAGCCCAGTGCCCAGCACGTGCACAGGTCCTGCAGCAACTTCACGAAGGCCCTGCGCTCCTCTTCAGAGTTAAACTGCAGCACCTGGGTGAGAGGGCAGCCCCGCTGCAGTGCCCAATGCTGGGCTTCCATCCAGGACAGGACAGCAGCCTCTGGGGATTCAGGCGAGTCTTGGGGTCTCTGCTGAGGGCCCCTTTCACCAGCATGGGCCTCCAGCAGCTGAGGAGGCTGAGCCATACCAGGTCGTATTCCTTGGGGACCTTGAGCAGCAGGGTGCGGCAGCCGCGGTTGCTGGACAGGATGAGGTGGACCTGCTGCGGGGGCTGCAGATGCACAGTGCGGAGCACGGCCAGATGTCTGTCCAGGACCTGCAGACTCCTGTCTGGGAGCAGCTGGACGGTGACAGGATAGCTCCTCTCTGAGGGGCCTGGCCACTCCATCGCTGGGGCAGGGAGAGCTGGGTGGTGATATAGCCCCAAAGCCAGCTTCCTCAGCCTGGCATCCCCTTCCCTTCACCCTCAGCCCCGCTCACCCATCACTCCATCTTTGGCTGCCTCCTTCTTCATACTCTCTTTGCCTTTCCTTTGCAGCCTCTTGCGCTCTCGGTTGCGGAAATAGGCAATCACCCCAGCAAAAACCAGACTCACTGCAGGGGACCAGAGGGTCAGTGGGGAGGAGAACGCGGCCATTGTCCTTCTCCTCCCAGCCCAGCCTGGAGTGGGGCCAGGAGGGGCCTCTGCAGGCCAGCAGGTAGGGAACAGCCTGCTTGTCTTGGGGAGCCAGAGAGCAGAAGGAGGAGAAGCTCACCGAGTGGGAAGCAGCAGAGGGCCACGATGACCAGGCCGTAGCCTGCGCCGCTGCCCTCAAAGTAGTCAAGCTCAGTGAGGGGCACACAGCGGGGCAAGCCTTCCGACGTGAGCTGCTGGGGCTGCGGGCAGGGGTCCCCTGAGGGGCAGGGCACAGATGACCAGGTCTGAAGGTGCCACTGCTTGGGCAGGCCCCATACCCTGTCCTGGAAAGGACTGAGCTCCCTCCCTGGAACCAGCTCCTTCTAACAGGCTCCTCCTCATCCCATTGCCCAGCACTGCCCAACTGGCAAGCTCCTGTGCTGCGCAGTCCACACTGTGGGAACTGGCCCAAGGCAGCCTGCCCCAGCCTGGCACTCTGGACGGCAGCACAAGATTCCACCCTACAGCCTCGTCCTTCTCTGACCACTGTCACCCACGGCATCTCAGGCCACTCACCTGCTTGCCAGACAAAGATGTTGTGCTGCAGGGTCTTGGTGTCCACCCCAGTGACAGTGACCAGCACATCCCGCAGGGTGGTGTTTCTAATTTCCCAAATTTCCTCCTCAGAGAAGAGCCTAGGGTGGGGAGAGGTGGGAGCTCTGTGTGTGTTGGGTGGGCAGATTCAGGCCTCCATCAGCTCAGCTCCAAGGAGCCAGTTGTGATGAGCGCCAGTGGGGTGGTGGCCATCTAAGTCCAGGCAGAGGTCTGGGGGCCCAGCCCACCTTACCCATTCCTGGTGTTCTCAAACCAGTAGCGGTCGCCATCCCGGAGCCGCACAAACTGGTCAAGGACGATGGCACTGAAAAGGGGTCCAGGATCCCCATGACTCTCCAGGAGGCCCCCTGGGAGCAGCTCCAGCCGGGACAGATCCTGGTGGTACAGGGCGGCAGTGGCCTCCAGCACCTGTGCACCATGGGCGGTCATGTGAGACCCAAAGAGTCTCCCCTTCCTGGCTAGCTCCACTTGGGGTGGTCACACATCTGCCAGGAAGGTCAGTGTGTCCCTACCATCTGAAACCACGGTGCCTGAGGACCACATCCTGTGCTCAACTCTACCCAGTGCCCAGCCTTGGCAGCTGGCAGCTCAGAGATACCCCAGCAGCTGAATAATGGCAGTTGCCCAGCGATGACCTCAGCAACGGCACAGCAGAGTGGTGCAGAACATCCCGGAACGCTGGAGTCTGCCTTATACCAGCCCCACGTGCATTTAATGGGTCAACATGGAAGCACTTAGAACAGCACTGCCACAGAAAGGCTTCAGCTGCCACCATCATCATTAGGATTCCTGACCTGGGGGTCCACGTGGGCACCGAGGTCACTCCAGTTCTTCGGGGGCTCCAGCCCGAGGGCCTGCAGGGCCTGGCTGTAGCTGGGTAAACCCATATCTCGGCCACGTTGAATACTGCTGGCCACATAGTCTGTGCGGGAGTATTTGCCAGGACCAGGCCAGTAATCTGAGAGGGAGAGATTCAGCTGTTGGCTCAGGGTTGCCAGCCTGGCGTCCTGCTCTTGGGCACTGTCCCCCACTGCCAGGACTCCTACATGAGATCTGTGCTTGTACTGGCCTTGTCTTGGTTTGGGGCCAGAGTCACCACCAAGTGTCATAGCCAGTTTCTCTGGCAAGACTTTTCCTCTAAATTTAAGATGGATCTTGGCACTGAGCAGAAAATGTTCCACCCTATGCCTTGCTCGCTTCCTTTAAGACAGGGCTGGATGAAAACCTCTGGAGACCCGGCTGGCTCAGCTCTGGTACCCCCCAGCTGCCCTAGACTTAGACACAGATAAAATCAGAGCAACACAAGGCTGAAAAATAAGAACCATCCACACGCCCTTTCTTCTAATGGCTGCTGAACCTGTGTGCGTATCTGTACTCTGGAATCCTGGGAACCCCAGCTCGGCCTACGGACAACTCAAAGGGTCCCAAGTCTCCCGAGTCCCGGCCTGTGAACCTTCTTGCTCTGAGCTCACCCCTCAGATCTTCGACCACTATTCTGTCTTCCTTCTCTGAAATCTGGGAGGCCATTCCCAACAGCAGTTCATTCACCTTCTGAGCACTGTTCAGATTGGGGTTCTGAAAATAAATAGTATATTCAAGGTAGGTTGTGGTGGGTCTCCTTTCAAAGAGAGGACCCTCTCACCCCAGACCAGTGTACTGCAGGTCTCTCTCTCTCTCTCTCTCTCTCTCTCTCTCTCTCTCTCTCTCTCTCT